CTTGCAATTTAAATCAAAGGTTACAAATTTAATCAGATGTAATAAATATATAAATATACAATTCATATTTTACCCATCATGTTTGCATAAAATACATTAGCAAGCATGGTTTACTTACTGTATATTTCCCCAATCAGATCTGTTTCTTAAGATAAGAATAGGTGCTTTATTTCTGGACAAACTCATGATAACATCTTCAATAACATTTTCTATTGCTCTCAGTACCTCGGAGCTGAAAGATGTTACAAGATATAATTTCATACAGATGGTATATCATTTCCCAAGTTTCCCAAAATATTTTTCACTATTGCCTTCTAACTATTTTTTTTTTGAGATTGCTGAAGATTCTAGAAACATTTCATAGTGCTTTGTCTTGCTTCCAGTAGTAGAAATCAGTTCATATATTTAAGTTTCAGCCTTAAGAAGTACATTTCTAGCCAGTCCTCACAAGCTTTTTTCATCAAGCCAAATATCTGGATCAACTGATTTAAAACAACTATGATTAATGTTTTTCAATCATATGATGTAATATTAGCTTTGGCCAGAGTTTGACTTAACTTGTTTTTAAATGCTGTAAACTTAAAATAAAAGTTCAAGGATATAATATAAGTACTTCCTCTCTACCATAGCACATTAACCTTTTGATCTGACACTTTGAATGAGTGCCTGTGGTTTTTAATTATATGAAGGTTTTGGCTGGATAAGAACATTGTGTGTGTGGCAGGGGGGGCGAAATGTATCATAAGCTGAAGTAAGTGCATTAGTACTGCTCTCTCTCTGTACTTGTGTATGTCTGTGGGTATATTTTGATGGAGGGGATAGGCACACACACACACACACACACACACACACACTATATGTATGTATGTATGTATGTATGTATGTATGTATGTATGTATGTATGTTACTTTCTTAGATGGGAACTCAGCAATTTAATGAATGACCAAATTTAGTGTTTCTTCGCTGCTATTTTTGAGTGATTTTTAAATATAATTCTAGAGGTATTGTTATGAGGACTAATATTTGTAATAATATTATATTTAAAAAGATTAGGGGATAGCTTTCTCTACTTATTGCTCATGTTTTAGATTGAAATGTTTTAGAATAAAATTGAGTTAATAGAAATGGACAACCCTGGTATTATTGATTAGCCACTCCTTTTTCTAAGTTATTTCACTTCTTTCAGTACTTACAGTTATAATAATTAATGATCCATGTATAGTAAACAATATTATTGTTCTCCGTAAACCACATCATTTAACCAGACAGATTTCTATTTAATCTTTAGAAATGTGTAAATAAGTAATGAGGCTCAGATGGTAGATCCAGGTTTCATGTGCAGGCTTAAGATCTAAGGTTTTTGGAGCCAACAAGTTTGAGAGCATTTTAAATATAGGAAGAGAAATATTTGATAGACATACCCACTCAAACAAATTGCACAAGTTCCTTCCTACGTTTTAGCTCTCACTGCTTAAAAATGAAGTAATCCTCAATAAAAAGTGATATGACTAGTCAAAGAAAAAGTTAAAAAGAAAAAAAACACAACACCTCAGCAGTAATTAAAGACAAATCTAAACTGTTGAACGGCAAAGAACTACAGTGTATCACACAAGGATAAAGCTTGTCAGCTCATTTCCAACAAGTCACAGCATGAGCATTATTTTTCTTTTGGCAACAGAAATAGAAATATTATTTCACAACAGAAATTTTAAAAGATGCAGAATTAATCTCTTGTAATATGTTTGTTTCGGTAAATCTGGGTTAGGACTTATTATTTCAAATTAAATACTAAAATATTAAATTGTTCGTGGCAATTGTATCAGATGACAAAGTCCTTAAATTAGAAAACAATAGCATTCCCAATTTCATTTGGGGAATGCAAACTTTCAAATGATTTGCTTGTATGTGCAAAAAGGATAATTCAAAGCATTAGAGCTGATTATGTATAATTTATTTTTTTATTTTTTTATTAATATAAATAGAAAGAGCAACATGTTCAAAATCCATAAAGACAGTATGTTGTCGGGTTACAATTATTTTGAGTAATATTCATCATGATAATAATAATAATAATAATCGTATTCTCTAATAGTAATTTCATAATGACAGTTCTTTTCCCTCATAATATTAATGCATATTAATTGTTAATATTAATAAAAATTAATAAGTTACAGAAATCAACCCTAACATTAAAATTAATATTTCTCTTGTACTTTTAGGGAGTTCTAACTCCTGTTTCTCTCATTTAGCCATTGATAAAACAGATTCCATACCTAAAAATATTCAGTGCCTCCCTTTTCTTTAATTTCAAATGTTAGTTTATGTACAATTAATATAGCCAATCATTACAGATGTTACAGTGAATAATGCTAATGAAAGTAACAAATGCAAGCTATATTTCAAATAGAAATCCATATTTCAATTTTTACATTTATTTGATTTATTTATTAAATTTTTATGCCACCATCTCCTCTACAAGGTGAATCTGGACATCTTATTATTCATTTGTTGGTATACCAAAAAGCAAAATTATTTACTAGATATTGAAGATATTTTCAAAAAAAATTAAAACAATATCACTATTCGCATCGTATGTTATTGTATATATTTATGTTATAGCTAGTGGGTTTAATGTTGTTATTTTACATGATTCAATCAATCTTTTATGAATGCATTAATTTAAATTTTTAGGGTGATAAATAATGATAAATATAAACCATACAAACAGAAGCTCTTTGGGGGTCCCCCCTAATTTTTAAAAGTAGGAAGGGATCCTAAGAGCAAAAAGCTTAAGAAGCATTGTGCAGGAACTCCTTGACTTATGCCTACAACTGAGCCCAAATTTTATGTTGTTAAATGAGACATTTGTTAAGTGGGTTTTGTCCCATTTTATGACTTTTCTTGCCACAGTTGTTAAATGAATCATTACAGTTGTTAGTAACACCGTTGTTAAGTGAAAGTGGCTTCCCTATTGACTCTGCTTGTCAGGTCGCAAAAGGGTCGCAAAACATGACCCTGGGACACTGCAACCGTCATAAATACGAGCCAGTTGCCAAGCATCCCTATTTTAATCATGTGATCATGGGGATGCTGCAATGGTCATAAGTGTGAAAAATGGGCCTTCACTTTTTTCAGTGCTGTTGTAATTTTGAATGGCCACTAAACGAACTGTTGTAAGTCGAGGACAACTTGTACTAAGGATTGGAAATGGATAAAAAGCAAAGAAAGCTTGCATATGTGGTACTGTGCAACTCCATGTCCTAGCATAGAGTCTTTCTCCATTTTCTTCCTCCAGTCTTTATTAGACATTTATAAATGACACTGAGAATTTGCAAGGGAGCCTCACATTTTCAAAAGAGAAGCAATAATAAAGCGGCCACTACAATACAGAAACATAGAAAACTGATGTTAGGAAAAGACACAGCAGTCCGTTGAGTCTTCTTTTGAGGGGTTTTTTCCCCTTGTTATTTTTATTTTTTTTATTTTATTTTTTTTTATTTTATTTTTTACTTTTTTTTGTCAAATGATAGACTTGTGTTTATCCATTATCTCCACTGGAAGTTGTTTCCCAGCTTCCATAGAATAATAGACACAGATTTTAACAGAAACAGATTTGAACTGATTTAAATATCAGCTATTTTTTTAAAGTCAGCATACTTTTTAGAGCATGTTGTTAAACTAACATTTTACACTTCCTGGAGAAGAAAAAAATCTCAACTGCCTAAAAATTGAGCTTTTTAGACCTAAAGCGTTTCAAATAAAAGCTTTAGAAGCAGCGTAATAAAAATTGCTTTTGCTGTTCCCAATCATGGATGTCCTTGTGTGCCACGAAAGTGTGAAAATATTTATGCGTAACTGATGCATTTTCACCAGACTAAACTCATTAAATCCTCTTACTTCAGAACAAGTACAGGTAATCCTTGCTTGGCGGCTGTTCACAGTTAAGACAGTGATGAAAAAAATAACTACATGATGAATTCTTGTTTTTACAGCATCCCTAGCTCAGTAAAGCAAAGAAAAGTTGATGTAAAATGAAGCACAGTTGTGATTACACTTAGCAACCATGTTCCCAGTCCCAATTATGGTCAGTAAACTAGGACTACCTGTATTCCTTAAGAGCCAAGGTGGCGCAGTGGTTAAATGCAGCACTGCAGGCTGACTGCTAGATCAGCAGTTCAGCGGTTCAAATCTCACCGGCTCAGGGTTGACTCAGCCTTCCATCCTTCCGAGGTGGGTAAAATGAGGACCNATATATATATATATATATATATATATATACACACACACACACACACATACATACATATGTATACAAACACACACACACTTATCTGGAGGGAAATCGGAGCATCTCAAATCTCGGCAACTCAAAAACAGCCGCAATTAAATGAACCGCCTCAACCTCGTCAACTTCCTGCCGTCGGCTCAAAATGCTGATGGGAAACCCGGCAGGCAGCCGTCCGGTTGGCCTTCAATTTCATTTCTCCCCCTCTCCGTCCCGTCCCGTGTCCCCCCGCCGCCGCCCCCCACTATCGGAGCGCTGCAGGTCCCCTCCTCGAATGAAACCATTTTAACAGCCCCTTAAAGACTGGCTCGTCCCCACGCCGGCACCGAAACGAATCCCTTGCAACCCGAAACCTTGCCAAATGCAACCGTTCTTCGAAAGCCTCCGGGCCAGATGGGGGGAAAGCGAGCCGCAGACCCGGCGGAGGCTCCCAGCAGCAGGGCGCGTTGCAAGCGCTTCCGCGCCTTTGCAACGGGCGCGCCTCGGCTTTCAGCCCTTATTCCTTCCCCGGGTTGGCTTCGTCTTCGGGTCCGCCTCCGCGCCCGCCCGGCCCCGCGCCTTCCTTGGAGCGACCCGCCTCCCCCCGAGGGAGCCGAGCCCGGCTTTGGCTCGGCAAAGCCGAGGGACTCTTATTCTGACAGCCGGGCGGCTGGTTGCTCTCGCTTGCTTAGTCATGGTGACTTACACACCGTCTTCTCCTCCTCCTCCTCCCGCCCTCCCCGCTCTCTCCACCCGCAGCGGCTGCACTATGGAGGGAGAGAGGAGGTGGGGCGCTCAGCTGGACGGAGGAGGCGGCGGCGGCGGTGACCGAAGCGGGCAACCATGGACGGGTGAGTAGAGACCCCGGCGCCGTCGGTCCTGTACCCGCGCGCGCTCTGCTGCTTGCTGTGCCTTCTCCTCTCCACCCTGCTGTGCCTTCTCCTCTCCACCCCTTCCTTGCAACCGAGCGCGCAATTTAGGAGGAAGCGGTCGGGGGGGGATCCACCTTTCCGCCGGGGTTGGAAGGCTGCGCCCGGGGCAGCAGCTCCGAGGGGCGGCCGGGGATCGACGGCTGGGAGGAGGAGGAGGAGGGCGAATGGCTCGAATCCTTGGGCAGGTGGCTCGTCCTGGGCTTCGGAGCGGCGCCCTTCTCCGCCTTTGTTGCCTGGTGGGCGCACGGTGGCCGTTCGGCGATCGCGATTGCGAGAAGGGAGTCCAAGGAAGAAGGTACGAGGCTTTGCAGGCTTTGCAACCGGAGCGGGAGAGAGAGAGAGAGAGGCGAGGCTCGAGGCCTGGAGGGGTCAGGCTGGAAGTTGGAAGGACGCAATTCCCGGTTGGGGGCCTCCTGGGTGATGCCCGGTGCCGCTTGCGTGTTTGATCCCGGCGCGTTGCAAGGGATGATCTCGGGGGCTTGGCGTCTCGCATTCCGGGGAAGAAGAAACGAAAGGGCCCCGCGGTAGGGCTGGGGAAACAACCTAGTGGAGGAAATGGCTGGGCCAAGTTGTCCTTCGTGGAAGAACCACGTGTGAGCCGTCCACGAAATGGCCGAGTTTGTATGTGTGGCCGGCTGGAGAAGTGTGCTTAGGACAGTGTTTCTCAACCTTGGCAACTTGAAGATGTCCGGACTTCAACTCCCACAATTCCCCAGCCA